AATAATAATAATAATAATAATAATAATAATAATAATAATAATAATAACAATATAAATAAAAAATATAAAAATAATAATTAATAATAATTATAATAATAATAATGATAATAATTGTAACATTTATTATTATTACTATTGTAATCTAGCAATGGGCGATGTTATAATCCTAAGATTGTCACAGCAAAACGTTCGCGTAAAATAAAAAAAATAAAAGTTTTACTATTTCGTTTAAAAAGAAAAAAAAAATTCTGAATTCAAAATTGTACTAAAAAGTATGAACGGTTAATTGTATAATCAATCCTTTTACTGAGGAGTGTTTGATTTATAATTTATTTTTTACCTCTTAGGTAAAATGGTCAAAACATAAAAGGCAAATATTTTTAATTGCTAAACTAATTATAATAAATATTTTTTTTAAAATTTGAGCAAGAGGACATCATTGCTGGATGTTATGACCAGTTTTTTCAATATTTAGTAATTCCAGTAATTATTATAGAAATAAATTATAAAGTAATGTTACGAACTCAAATATTGAATATTTATGCTAAACATAACCTGGGTGAATAAATAATGCATTTGATAATCCCTAAATTATAAAAGAACCGTAATTTAAATAAGTTTATAAATATATTCAATCGTTGTTATGAAATAGAAAATCAATTTCTAAATATTAATCTTTTAATTCTCTATTGAAGACACGTTAGTTGAATAAATCGTTTAAAATGAGTTTTTAATTCGGTAAAATATTTTCCAAATTAATCATTGTACGTTAAATGAGAATACTAATAGCATTGTTGAATGTGAAAAGTATTACTCCAATTAACATGAGAATATTAAATAAAAAAGTTATAGTTATAAGTTCAATTCATGGGTTGAGTTTTGGAAAGAAAAAAAATATTACTCATTAATATTGGATTTCGAGGTTATTATTTTTTCGGTAGAGTTTAACTAAACGGATTGTAAAATTCGTATTTGTTGATTATGTTGTGAAATAGATATAACGGTAATAGCTGAATCTATAGATCTCAAATATTATATCTACTATAGCATATACTGACCATAAAGCATGTTGACCGTCAGTACGAGATTATCGGTTAATATGATCGTTATTGACGTTTATGGTTTATAAAATCCCAGTTAATTTCAATAGGTATCATGATCACTGAAAATAAAATACCGATTTCCGATAGGGATACTGAACGAGTACAGATTTTAGAAAAACAAACATACTGAATTTTGAAAAAATATGTGTTTTCAAACTGTTTAGGGTTAAATTTTTTCTAAAACAATACAAACATCACTGTAAAATGATTAATAAAATAAATAGGCATACATGGGATAAATGTGAAACTCAAATATATATAAACGGTGAATGCAGCAGTGAGTTCAACTTTGTCGACTGGACAACGAATTCATACAATACCAAATAAAGCTTTAAACAAACGACAATGTGATAATAATTACTGAATTTGAATTTCAAAAGTGTCACGACATCCGCAAGTTTTTTTTTTTTTATTACGACGCTGTGACAATGAAAAATTGTTTTTTGATAAACAATGTTTTATATTTTCCACGAAAGCCCTATTCCTTAAACGAGACGTAAAAAAAAAACGAATACATATTAATAATATTAATATATTATATTCATATGGCAGTATGGGTAGTGACTATAATACTTACAACTAACTTTTCAGATGATGCGAAAAAATAAATAAATAAATGAAGGTGTGCCAGAAATGGTTATCGCGCACATTTCAACTTATTTCGATATAGATATTGGTTAGCGAAAAATATTGCGTTATACAGTACGAATTGAACCGTTTAAATCGATATGGTATCGGATGATGCGTCCGCTTTCATAATTGGGGAAACTGTGGACGTTTTTATTGGAAAAAGAGCATACCGATGGAATCGCGAAGTGTAGATCGACAAAATTGTTGAAGTGATTTTACGTTTTATAATACTGTGTACTATTTCCGTTGAACGTTTATTACATTGTTTTAAGGAGTAGGGCCAGAGTTAAATTATATATATTTATATTTAAATATTATCAGGCAAATATTATTATTACGCAATAACCGGAACGGAAAAATAATTTTTATATTTATTTTTAACGTTTCGTAATTTTAATCAACTGTCTAGAAAAAATGAAATGGTTTTGCGAGAGAAAAATAAAATAAAAAATGTAAATAGTTTTCGATAAAGGTAACGCGTATACAACAATAATAATAATAATAATAATAATAATAATAATAATAATAACGCATTCATAGACCGTAGTTACGGTTAATTTTTTCGCTGCCGACACCGTCAATCCATTCGTTTGCGCGCGAGCTACGTCGCGGGTCACGTTCTTCAGAGGCGGCCGCTCGCTGGAATCGGACGTGATGCCGACGGAGCCGGTTCCGAAGCCGATGGCGCGATCACGTGACAATCACGTGGGGCGCGGACATGAGGACCGCTATGGTGGCGGCCACCGTGAAGAACGTGAATATGTACAGGCACATGCGGTCGACCACCATGGCCGCGAACTTCCAGTCGTTCGTTACGTCCTCGTCCTCCTCGTCCTTGCGCAGCTTGTCCGTGATCACGCGCAGCTCCTTGAGGATGAGCGACAGTTCGCGATGCGGTCCCAGGCACGAGGCTGCGGCCATCGCGGACGACGTGTTTCCGCCGCCTCCGCCACCGCCGCCGCCGCCACCGCTGCTGCCGCCGCTGCCACCGATCATCATGGCGGTCGCGTGTTGCTGCTCGACCATGTGCTCCGGCATCGGAGCCACCTGGCTGCGGGCGCCCGGGTAGCTCCGCGTGGACGACCTCAGGTCGTCGTCCAGGTCCAACACGTTGGCCAACAGGCTTCTGGACGACTTGGCCCGGAATTCCAGGTCGGGCAGATGATGGATGGAAGATGCCGTGGACTTATTCTTGTCTGATTTGTTTCCGTTGGCGGACGCCTCGTCCCGGTTCGGCCGGCTCATGCACAGCAAGCACGGCATCCACACCAGGAACATGAGCTTCACCTGCGGGCACGCACGGCGAGTGCTTGTTTTAGATTCGATACGGCCCACCGAGCGAATACCGCCCTAGTGCAAAGCGCTGGTCAGTCCGCGCCAAAGGTTCATCGTACCGTAAATTAAACTACCCCCTCGTTCGGGATAAGATTGGAAAATCGACTCCTATGCTTACGAAACATAACGGACTAAGAAATGAAGTGGAGCCCCATTATTTTTATAATTTTGATTCTACATCTAGTGAAGATTACGTAGATGTAATATTTGTGTAGAGGTTTTAAAGTATGGTAAACATTTATTAAATTAATATTAATTTAAATAGTAAATTTGCACCATAAACATCTTTAATAATGCTATTAGGTAAGACATCGGACCATTAAAAGTATTGTAGTTCAAGCAACAACAAATATTTAATATTTGGTGAAGCATTCGAATTGCAATGTTATTATAGATCAGATAATTAACAATTATATAATATATTTCACTGACTTTCCAAGACGATTTAATTATTTTTTTTGTTTTAAAATTTTTTAAATCAAACGTCATTCTGACTTGACCTATTGTTAACACATTACGATTTTAATAATACAAAACACCCCTACAAATTTAGTTTAATTTAGTTTCGAACACTTTTGTGTTTTTTTATATTATTTATGTTTTTATCATTTTTAATTGCGCCTTATTACAGTCAGTATAACTTTTAGTAGTTATATTTTTGGTTAACATTAATTCGTTATATACAATGTGGTGTAAGAAATGCACCGTTTCTAAGTACAGATTAGAGTCACGTCCTCATTGATCTCCTCATCCGCCCACTGAACAAAACGATGTTTCGATATTTTATCTTGGTAGGACCTTTGCTGTATGCGTTTCGCGGTATCACGTTACCGCAATTCAGGTTTCCGCTCTTTATCACATTACATACGTTATAAAGCCTTGAGATGATGTGACCGTAATACGATAACTCCTGTATAATTAGATTGCATGACAAAAGTTTCATCCAAACGCACCTTTATGTATTTATTCGAAATTTTGGGCTATTATTTCTAATCGGATTTCTGATAACGACTTCAATACCAAAACGCCTTAGTCATAATATTGGATGTCTATTGTAGTATCTTGTATAATGTACTTGAAATCGTGACATTTGATTTAGTATAGACACTTATTATATTACGTTACATTTCATTAAATGCTAACGTAATTTCATGAATTATAACTATAATTAGGAATGTTTCAATTGTGCTATTGTTTTCATAATAAAAAGATGGATGGATAATGTATGTTAATCGAGAATTATTGTGACAGATTTAAACGTACGTAAATTTATTGTGCATTTAAGTGTACTTGTATTTTATTATTAAAAAGTCAAATAATTAAATATTGATAATTAATTGGGAGAAGCGGTTGGGATACATTTACGATAAACAATAATTTGATGTATGATGATTATCTTTTAAAGTATTACGATACTTTATTGGACGGCTATTCAGATAGACAATTTTAGTACGTTTATGTGTTAAAAAATATTTTGTTGCCTACTCAAATAATTTTTGTTTTTTCGTATTTCATTTTCGACGCTAATAATAATTATTGTATTAGTTAACTGTTCAATAAATACGAATATTATTTGCTATTATTGCTTGAGTGTAAATTATTTTTATAACTTATTACTTGTATATGAACTAAAATTTAAGATTTCGTGTCCATATTAACAATACCATTAATTACTTAATTGTACTGTGCATAGAATAATATGTTAAATGGATAAACAAAGCCTGGAGGAGATCAATATCTTTCAATGAATGAACGATTCATTGTGCATGGAAAATGGCAAATATAATTTAAAAACATTGGTCAAATTATTTTAGTATTTACTTTTAATTAATAATTTTAATATTAATTAAAACTAATATTTCAATTGAAACTATAAGCTTTACGGACCAAGTCAAAATACTTTGTATCTATTAAAGATATCTGATTTGTACATAATATGTACATTAATACAATATGTACATAATATATATAATATTATTATATTTTAGTTATATATTTTCATACAATGATCGTCAGATTAGATTAATTTCAAGATACCTTTTTGTGTTAGTTAAAGAAGTATTGAAGTTAAAAAGGGTTACATCCATGTATTTAATATAATAATGATAAACTATTACCTATATATTAAGTATATTCATAAACTATATTAGAAGATTGTTTAATAAAAATGTAGGTTACTATAAATTATTGTAAATAAAAAGATATCAATGCAAAATATTTCAACTTTGTTTAATTTTTATGATTTCGAATATATAGAACTATGTTGAATCAATATTGTTAATATAATATTTGTAATTTTCATATTTGTATACTAGTATCTATGCTTATAGTTTTCTTTTAAATTAAATTTATTAATTTATAAATTTTTAAGTAATTAATTATATACTTATACAAGTAAGAGCTATAATTTTTAAAGAATAATAAGTATTCAAACTACAAATATTTATTTTAATTTATTTAAGGCTATGTTTAATCATTTATAATTTTTTTTTAAAATCAAAATATTTTTAGCATTTCATGGAAAATTTATTTCTATTAACTTGATCACAGCTCACAGAGCCCTAATAATTTTTTTTTTTTTACTTATTTTATAGGTAAATTTAAAGATAATCTATATTTTAATTTTAATTTTGAGAATATAGTAAAATAAACTTTAATTACCCATTTGGACATAACATGCGTGTCCGCATTACGGTGATGATAATTCAGAATCATGATTGTGGATACAACTGATGATGCCACCATGAACATGATACAGTTGAAATATGTACCTATATGATAAATTGAAATAACAAAAAAAAAAATTATATTAGTTTTCATGGAAATGTTATTTTGTCTTTTTTTTGTCTTTTTTTTAAGCATCGTGCGTTAATGTTTTTTAAGTGCAAAAAATGTTAACTAATTTGTGACTTCGAATGTAACAAATGAAGTTAAATTTCTAAGTAAAAATTATAGTTAACTTTTTTCACGTTAATAAAAATAAATAATATAGATAATATAATTCCAAGTCACTGCTGAACTTCTAAATATAATTCTTAGAAAAATCTATTTTGAAATGTAATGATCGAAGAAAAAAGTAAACAAAACAAACTACGAAAATATTTGTAAAATCAAATCAGACATAAACAAGACAGGTATTGTATGTTTACGACAGACAGAAATATAGTAACGTACCACTCATGCAAGTAATACGGTAATATTAACGAAACATTGAAGCTATTAAAATGTTTAAATTAATTTTTGATAAACGATCAAGTCTTGTTTAAATCATAATCATCATCATATAATGAACACTTAAGACCACTGATGATTATCGATTAAAGTTATCTTATTTTTGTTGACTACTTATCATCTAGCGAAGTACTATCCATTTGATATAGTCGATAAATGAAATAGTGATAAAATAATTGTAAATTAGTTGAATGCTTACAAAAAATATAATACATGTATGTAATAAATAATTCAAAATAAATAAATCAGACAGTTGTCCACATGCAGAGGCGCGTTTTTAGCGCTGTTGCGTATAAACTATATTAATAAAAAACAGTTTAAATTGAATAACACATTCATATGTTACAACGTTTATGTTTTCTTAATATGTTATCTGTAACATAGTTGAAACATTTATTTATACATAATTAGTAGAAATTTATGTGTTATATCATGAAAAAAAAAAAAAAAATGAAAAAAATGATATAAGAATAATAATAATACGTAATAACTAAATTGCATATTACTAAAATATATTTAAATAAAATCCGTATAGATATTGTTAGTAAATATAAATTTAAATATTAAAATGTGCGGATTTAATGACAGTGCAGTAGATCTTTGGTATGTCGGATCTTCATTGAGTTAGTTGCAAATGTTGTGATATCGACGTTCGACATAACAAGAATCTACAGTATTTAAAAAATTGTTTATCGCTGTTCATCGCTGTTCATTGATTTTACGTTTTATACATGAAATCAACACAAACGTGTTGATTAAACAATTACGTTTTAGTATTTGGTCAAAGTATGTGATTGCGTTTCACAAATGATGCTTAATGAATGCCGTTCTTGAAAATATCCTTTTGCTCTAAAATTTATTTTGAATACGTGAACAGTAAAACGATGACAAAATTGCTGGACTCGCATCCACAAAGTTAACCATGAGTAAGTATTTCTATGTAGTAAGTGTCTAGATATATATCTATATATTTATAGAATACATATAATAACATTTTAAATTGCATTGCAATACTTCATGTTTTGACACAAACATATATAGACGGATTTATTCAAATTTGTGGTTCAATGAATATTCGTTCTAAATTGTGGCATAAAAAAAATATAATAAATTTAAGTAAAATATCGAAACAAAATAATTCATTCGCAATCATTAATTAGTTTATACTAACACTTCGCTAGATGTTTTCAATTAGTATGAACATACTTATTTTATTAATAAAAATAATGGTGAAATAATTGATCATCTATGGTCTTAAAGTAAGCATAATAAAAATAACTTATACAAATCGGAATTATGATAATTTATTATTTATTTATTAATCATAATTAATTAATTTAGTTTTTAAAACATTATTTTGCAAGGGTTTATTAGATTATAGATATGAAAAAATCAAATAATACATTTTAGTTATAGTTAAATTAGCGTAACATTATTTATAATGCATTTATACGCATTTATTTAGTTTTAACCGATTTGCATAAAGTCATGTATAAAGTTAACTAAATAGTTTTTAAGAAACTACCGGCTTTGTTACTTGGAGGCAGAGGGGCCCACAAATATTATAATAGTAGTACACATGATTGATAGTAAATTTGTTAATTTTTATTAAATTTTAACCATTTTTTAATTTGTGAAATAAACAAATATTGTTTAAATTACAATATGAATTGGTTAATATTTATCTTTGACGCGGTAAAATCGGTTTAATCAGTTTTATTGTTTTCACACAACATTGAGAGAAACTTAAAAACACAAAATAAAATTAATAAAATAAATTATAAACAAGAAGGATAAAGAAAAACATAGTGAGACGATCATGAAATAAAATGTTTAACGTAAAATAATAACACATATAAACATAAAATTAATATCGTAAAGAAAATAAAATGTAATATTTGCTCATTTGAAAAAAAAAATTAAAAAAAATATGAATGAATATATTATTATACTGTTTTGTGATGAAAAAAATTAATTGGTTTTTCTTCGATAGTTTAATGTTATTTAACTTAGGGAAATCGAAAGATCACTGTCGTTGCAGTCTGCAATATCACATCATCTGGTACCATGTTTCGGTTTTAATGGCGTGGTGTAATAGACTGAACAAAAACAAAATGTTTAAAAATGAAAACAAATGAATAATTAGAACACTACAAAAATAAGTGGTATTAAAAAACATATAAAACATACTGACACGCATTCATGATCATACGAACAAAACTGTGTAGTTTTTATTTTTATTTTAGTAATGAATAAAAATACACATAAGTAGTTATATGCATATACATACATTTATATATAAGTATTTATTTAATATTTAACAAAAAAATTATTATTTAACATTCGCACGGCTTTCTTTCTTATTTAGTTTCTTCTGCTTAGATGGTTTATCGGACAACTGTGAGCTGAATGTCAAATACAAATGCGAATGCACAATGAAACACGGTGACGGTTAAATAGTTTACGAAACATAAACAAAAAGACAGCATGCTATAGAAATGTTTGTAATGATGTTAAAGAAATATGATGTCTAAATTGTGTTATTGTATATATGTACATTGTACAGGCGTTTTCGGCTTTCCACGGAAAAAATTAATAGTTGTAAATAATTGATTTTGTATATATTTTGTAATTTTAAATTGTTCATAACCATATCGCTACGAATATATATATATATATATATATATATATATTGCATGATAGAAACTGTAAACCGTTTGTTTATGCTAAATTTCTTGTAATTTTTTTTTTTTTTTAAATGTATTATCGTCATAAGGCACTAGACGTGTTTAACATTTTGAATCAAAAATGTATATTAGTTGCTTCAAATTATGTTTACTGCGATTCGGTTATTATTAAGGCGAGCGTTCGGAAAAACGACCATATAACCCCTATGAAAAATAATATTTATTGAAAATCACTTGTTCAGATTAAAAGAAAACGAAGAAAAACGATTTTTATATCGTTCATAGCGTTATGGTTTTAAATTCTTTGAAACACAAAATAACTTGTGTCTGAATATTTGAATTGATTGTGTTGTTACGAGTGTGTTGAATGTGTTGTTCTATTTTGTATGTACGAGAAAATAGAGAGAGTAAGAGCAAGCTGAGCTGAACACAAACCACAAAATTCCGCAAAAAAATAATATATATACATATATTTATATATTTATATATATATATATATATATATGCGTGTGTGATTTATTGAAATGGAAAAAATCAAAAAGAAAAACTCGAACTAGACATGGTGACAATATAGCGATAGATGAATGTATACGTGTAAATATATATATGCATACATGTACATATATCTATATATATATATATATATATATATATTTATATACAAGTTAAAAAAATATGTAAATTAAGTATGAAATACAATTCATATAATTTTAAGTATATTCGGATATAAGTTCATAAACATACAAATATATACAAATATATATATTAATAAATGTATACGCATACACATGTATATTTGTATGTGTATGTGAAAATTACACACCCATAAATTTTCGTACGTCTATAAATATATTTATGTAATATAAATATATATATATATATATATATATATATTATATTGTTCCTAATACGACATGTATTTATTTGTTTTTATTTTCAATTTTGCCTGACCTAGTAAGGGGATAGCTTCAGATGTTTGTGGTAGGGCATCGGCTATCATGAGTGAAAATACGGACAGTGATAGGAGGATTGTCACTCCTGAAACAACATAAATGCCAAACACCACACATTCTATTAAATAATAATAATAACAATAATAATAATAACCATAATGATGACAATAATAATAATGATAATAATAATAATAATAATAATAATAATAATAATAATAATAATAATAA